ACAGGTGACATTAAATTCTCTCTGGTTGTTGTTTAAACTCATTAAAACTCATTTCTGTTCATCAGAGTTTAACATTTGGACGTTTCCTCCATGAAAATAATCACTTCCTGTCTGGAGGGGCCGACTGATTCAACACTAAACGTTAAAGATGGAACGTTTGTTTAACATTTTATTAAAGTTTACGTCTGTATTTCTGTCTTTTTAAACCATTTTGAAGCTCTGCAGCAGCTCAGCTCTCCGTCTTCCTGCTCTGGCAGCTCCTCGGCTTGTGAAAGGCTTTCTGTAGCAGCTCAGACTCTTTCTCTTCTTCTTTGTTGGCTTTTCCTTCTTTGTTCCTGCAGATTCCTTCAGATTCTGCTGCTCTGCTCAGAGTTCTGATCCTGGTGCTGCACTACGGGCAAGTTTCAAATCATTCTGGACACATTTTTCACACTTTGGATGAATTTCATGTACTTTTGGTCGTTTAGGACACGTTTTGGGTGATTTTTTTTAAACTTTATTTTCATTTTGGGCAAATTTCGAGTCACTTCTGTCAAGTTTAGATGATTTTTGGAACGTTTCTAAACATTTTGGAGACATCGTTGTAATTTAAGACACTGTTCGGTCATTTGTGAGAGTTTCAGGCGACTCCGTCCAAGGTTTGGTCGTCACCAACATCTCACCGTTCAGTCACGTCTCTGCTCACCTGCTCTGGTTCCGGCCGTGTTGTTGGGGCTGGTGCTGGTGGTGGTTCTACTGGGCGTCGGCGTCGGTGTCTGCGTCGGCGTGTAGGTCTGCCCGGAGCCCGAGGAGCCGGGACGGGCCGCTGAGGACCCCCGACCATCCTCCGATTTGTACTGAGAGAAGGAAGCTGGAGGAGGAAGAGGAGACAGAGCTGATGAAGATCCACCAGAGACCCACACAGTCACCAACGGGCGACTGAAGCTCATCCTTCCTTCTGACTGCTGGACGCTTCACAGATCTGTCCAGAGCTGCTGCAGGGAGTCACCTCCTGATTTAAGGTTCCCCTAATCCAGGGGTCTCCAATCCTGGTCCTGGAGGGCCACAGTCCTTCATGTTTTAGATGTTTCCCTCTTCCAACACACCTGATTCAAATGATCAG